CAAAATGGCTTCATAGGCTATATCATAAAATGGCGGAGGGGCGGATCTATGGTTCTCCACAACCATGAAAGCAAAACTTCACAGTTAGTATTCAAACCTTCACGGAGGGCCTTGCTCATCTGGAAGCACAGCCTGGGTTGGCATTGGCTTGAGGCTCTCTGAATGTGACATGTTCTACGATCTTGGCTGGTTTGTGGTTCTGCGTCAGTTTGAAGGACTCACAAGGAGACGCCTCACCTCTCTAAGGCATCTCATAAAATGGCCATCAGAGCCAAACACCCATCAGCTGGCCACGCGTTTTCAGGTGATACGATTTGTTCTCAGATCAGCCTAGATAGTCATGGGCCATGTCTTAGTCACCTTCTCACTGCTGAGATATAATACCTGAGGCCTGCAACTTAAAAGAGGAAAGGCGTGTTTTGGCTCACATTTTAATTCTTGCATGGTCCTCTGGCTCCAAGGCAGGATGGTATGGCAGAAGAGCATGGTGGCGGGGGAGCTGCTTATAGCAATGGTGGACGGGAAGCAGGAAGAGTGAAAGGAGAAGCTGGAAGGGAGATACACCCTTCTGGGCCACGCCTGCAGTGCCCTCCCTCCTCCAAGCACCTTCCAATAGCAGTCAGCTATACTGCCACTGCACTCAGCTGTATTGCACCCGTAATCCAATCCCCTTCCGAAAGCCCCACTTTTGAGCACAGGAGGCTTGGGGATATCAAGATAAAAGCTGTAACAGGCCACTAAGGATCAGCTTGCTCAAATGGTGCTTCCAGGCTTAAAGACTGTGGGGGCCTTGGCATTTATATTATAGGGCCAATCCCAGTTTAAAATTATTCCAAGTATAAATGGATAGACTAGGGACGGCGAACCTTTTAGAGCATTCAGTGACACAAACAGCTGGCTCGGGCATGCCTGCCACAAGTTTGCCACAACTGGGACATAGCCTTTGAGGGGCAATCTGGAGAAAAATAACCACAATCATTAAGATGTTCATAGCCTTTGGTCTAATTACTTCTGGTGATTTATCTTAAAGTAAATAAACTTACATCCCATTTATTGTACTATTGCCTATAATTGTGAAAAACAGAAATATCCCAGGTACCCAAAGATTGGATGGAGGTTAAATGCATTATGGTAAATTCATTTGATGGAATGAAATGTTTTACAAAGACCTGAGAAATCATTTTTAAAGCCATATAATAATACATACATATGATAATCATATTTGTAAGAAAATACTGTGAATTTTTAAAAATATATGGGCACATAGCTAAACAAACAGATTTCTGAGTAGTGGGATTATGGGTGATTTTTGTACTTTCCCCTATATTATTATTTTTTCATAATGAAGATACATATACCATTTGTATTCAATAAAATATGTTGTAGTATTATTTTTAAAATGATTCTTCTCACACGCTGGATTGAAATCATTATTTCTAGGATGAATCGGGCTTTTCTAGGGCTACTGTTGAGATAGCTGAAGTTTAAATTAGTGAAGAGACCTGGGGAGGGTGAAGAGAGAAGAGTGTGGTCAACAAACGTTGGGGTCTTGGGGTTCTGTAGTGCAACACTGTGGTGGGGGCAGGGGTAGAGAGAGGAGTTATAAGTTCTCTGTGAGAGAGACCACTTCCTGTCTGGGAGAAGGGGAAATCAGTGTTTTACCCCATGCCACTGTGCTCTGACATGTATCTATCTTGAGTATGGCAGAACAAAAGCTCAGTGCCCTCCATGTTGGGGAACGAGGCCAGCAAGCACACTCTGAGACTCAGTGAGAGGCACGCCTTCAGAGGCACTCAAGTGCTCTGTGGGTATTTGTTGCCCCTAAAATGCCTGTTGCCTGAGGAGCTGTGCTATTTCTAGGCCCCACCGCAATGGGCCAAACTGGAACTGTATCAGTCACCTGCAAGTTACAACAAAATATTTGAGGCAACTATCTTCATTAAGGGGAGAGATTTATTTAGCTGACAGTTTTGGAGGTTCAGAGGCAGGTCACCTACATCAGCTCAGTTCTGGTGAGGTTGGTGGCTCATTCTGATGGCCGCGTGTGTCAGAGCAGGCAGTCACATCTTGTGTGAAGTAGGGAGGAAGTGAGGGGGAGAACGCGCAGGGTCCCACCATCCCCTCCAAGGGCATCAGGGAAAGGGAACCTCATAAAAGTTCACAACACCTCCCAATTCCCCATGCTGGGGCACTGAGCCTTTAAAGAGTGGACTGTTGGAATACTCCAACAATCAGACAATATCCAGACCACAACAGGAGCCAATGGTGGCCCTGAAGCGACAAGGTCAGAGTCACTATGATTTGATGTCCCTACTTAACCCAAAGTCAGCCCACTCAGTGTGAGCCTGAGCCAAAGAGAGCAGTGACAAAGCTCATACGTCACCTCGTAGTTTACAAACGATTTTCATGATGTTTCCATTGAAGAGCTACAGACATTCTTTCTAGAAAATAAATTTATAATCATGGAACAGCTACACTTAGGGCACTTTGTTTCCTTAGATATAAATCCTATGGGACTCTGACGGCTGATTTTTGGTGGCTGCCATTATATTCAGCAAATGCAGATGGGAGAGGTTGTCTTGAGGTGATTAGAAAATAGAGGGAAAACCACTGGGGCCAGTCAGTAAAGAATGAACTGCTGCTAAATGATGGGTATGGAAGAAGTGATGACCAAAAACACTAATGGATAATAACTCTGTAGATCCAATTAGGTTAATATCAGGAACCCAGAAGAGAGAGCATAGGCTTGGTGAAGACCTAGCAACAACAGGTGCATAATTTTCCTACAGACTCAGCTGCCTGGGAGATTTTTCAATTGGAAATCAATGTTTTCAGGAAGCACATGACTTAGTCATATAGTTCAGCCTCTGACCCAGCATAGTGTCCCTGAGGACCACCATTCAGCCTCTGAGAGGAACTTCTACATCAGGGACTTGGCTACCTCTCTGGAACATTCCGGTGCTGTGTGGATACGATGTTAGAAAGCGTACTCGTAAGACTGCAGTGTGAAGGTCACTAAGAGTGCAGGAGTGTGACTTAATTTCAGAGGAGGAGAGCATAGAGGATACCCAATTTTTAGGATTGTTATTTTTCTCTTCATGAACAAATAATATGCAGAAGACGCAGAAATGCTTGCATAGTATTCTTTGTTAGGGAAAGTGGTGCTGGGTAATTATATTGGTCTGACACACCATTTGTTCTTGAATGGAAAAAACTAGAAGGGATTTCTTTCTCTTTCTTGTAGGAGGGCGAAGTCTTTCCACTGCTGAGTTCTGTTATGCTTTACAAAGCTTCAGTTATCGTACATATTCAATCTCAGCTCTCCAATAGATAGTTTGGGTCCTCAAGGGAATGGTAATAATTATCCAGACTTGGTTGGTAGCAGACTGGGAAAGGAAAAGGCTGGGAAGCCGGTGGTCTTCATTAATTGATGGGTTCAGGAGTTCAATTTGTTAATTACTACTTTATGAATATTATGTGTTTCCCCAATTGAATTGGATATTCCTTAAGGGCAAAACTACTTTCTGTACCTCACTGAGGTTCACAGACTGAGAACACACAGAACCTTCCAGTCTGTACTCCATAATTACTTGCAGAAAACTACGTCATAGGTAGCACACTGACCAGGTGCTAAGGAATTATATGATTAACAATGATCATCAAGCCTTTGGTTTTATGTTTCAAAAACATAAAATGTGAAAAGTACACTGCTTTTATTTAACCCCATAAATTATGATCTAACATAATGTAGACATTTAATATTCTTAAAGTGCTCAAAAAGAGATTTATTTTTTTTGACAAGCGGAAAAATGATCTTTTAAAGGCACAGATTTTAGTGACAAATATTATCTAAGTAAGGCATTGTGTTCATATTTGAATAACAATTTGTCCATCTTCAAGAAATGGGATTTTTGTATGCAATAATATGCAGCATGGATGTACATATTTGAATAACAATTTGTTCATCTTCTTCAAGAAATGGGATTTTTGTGTGAAATATGTTACATTGACTGCCTAAATGATGGGTCTACATGGTCAGAATTCAAAATTAGATGTGCGGTAAGCGTGTCCTGATGGTGTCGAGTCAAGCATGACTTTGAGTTGTGGAGGGAGGCACGCAGGCAAATTTCCTGCTGTGTGGCAGCTCTGGGTTAGTACTCAGGGCAGCCGTTCAGACGGACAGAGCCCTGGGCTTCCATGGCTTCAGAAATAGGGACCAGCTTCTGATTGACTTGAATATTCTTTAGACAGCCAAAAAATGACCTCCACACTGGAAGGTTCAATGTCTTCAGATTGGCTGAAAGAGAAAAGCAAGAGGCCCTTGATAAATACTTCATTCTGCCGAATGAAGGCACACTGAACTTGACAGACAGTTGTAAGGAAGAGCAAAGAGGACCCCATGGCTCATCCCACCCGGTCCTTTCTTCCTCTTCAAGCAGGTGTCCAACAATGCCTGCCGGGATGAATCAGCAACAAGGCAACTCCTGAGTTCTTCAGAGTAGGAGATTTCACAGTCCTAATCAATAGGCAATAACCTGAACTCTGCTGCTTTCTATGGGTCATGAAAGGCCTATAAAATCAACAACCAGGCAGACTATTCGGAAGGATGCAAAGCAGTGAAGAATGAAGAGCCTCTTTCCAGGCAGAATTCCAGTCTCAAACTTGCCTCCATCTCCACCTGCCTGTTTCTCCCACTCCGGTCCCACTGAGCCTAATAACTCAGCAGCAAGAATAAGCATCTGGGGATGAGAGATCTGGTTTTCTGCCTGATTCTTTGCTGATAGCAGGTTTCTGAGTTAATGCAACCTCTTAAAGAGAGGCTTATAAATTACCAGGCTTGGGGCGAGAAGAGTCAGCATTAACATGGCTGGGCCTGTGCTGAGCAGTGCTCACAGCCAGCTGCTAGGTGTCCCCAAGTGTTGCACACAGGGCCTCACCATTCCCACCCAGTGGAGGGCTACCCTGCTCCTGACCCACGTGGAGACCACCATCTTTGTTGGGTCAAGAGTGGACAATGGACAACACAGGTGTGGAAGTAGTGAGGGTGACAGTCACCTGGGACACCACCAATGTGCAGAGACCCTTGGGTGCCGTGGGGTGGGAAGGTGAGCTGCCCGGCTGTGTGGCTGTTGTCCTTGTCCAGCTCCAGGTGCAGGATGTGTTGTTTGATGGTGACTGGAAGAAAGGAAGCTGGTTAAACCCATCACCCAGGGAGAGTGCTTCCTGGACTGTGGTGTTGCCACTGGCTTCGTTTTGATTCATTCCCACGGGACCCATGGCATACTACCTGCTGGCACTTGGCCCAGCTCGGTACAAACTCAACTCACTTCTTAGTGCCAGGCAGCATGAGGGGCTTCCGCATGCATCACCCAATTTATCCCTAACACGAATCTCTGCAGAAGACATTACTATAATTTTCATTTCCCAGGTGAGAGGCTGAGACTCACTGAGGACCTGAGCAGATGCTTGGTCTACAAAGAGCTGCGATTCAAGCTCTTATCTCATCTCCAGAAGCCATGCTTACTTCACGGGACCTCAGCTACTTTCCAAGTAGGCACTGGCTTCTGAAAACGGATGCCAAAAACAGTTGACACATTTTTGACCCGTGGAAGCAAATTCCTCCCATGTTAACAATCTGAGCTAATCACAATGTATTTAGCTTTGACCAAGCAAAGATTGCTACTGATAAAAGGTATTTGAGCAAATACAGGTTCACCTGTCTTTAAACTAATATCCATGAGTTATTAATAAAAAAAAGATTCTACTTGAGAAGATATGTCTGCTCTCTACTGTTAGTTTATCTAAATAGTTCACATTCACATTAACTGATTGTTGAAAAAATAGCCCAACAATGAGACTTAACTATACTGTAGTGAGAGCAGACACTCACTGAATGCTGCTTTTAGACGTGGGGCTAAGCACTCTGCACTCTACTCCATTAATGTGCACACCCTGTGAGGAGAATGCTACTTTTATCTTCTCCATTTTACAGGTGAGGAACCTGAAGGGAAAGAGGATTTAAATCACTTGCCCAAGGTCACAGAGGTAAAGGATGGTGCTGAAATGTGACCTCTTTTCTTTCGGCTTCAAACCCAAAACTTAAATCATAATGTTGTATTACCTTGAAAAAATGAATACAACTTATCAATTTGCTGGACACGCGTGTGCACGTGCACACACACACACACACACACCCCAAAATCCCCCAACACAGGAAGTCACGGAGAACTGCAGGCTGCAGCCACAAATAACATCCACGCAGTGGGGTCGGCAATGGCTGAGCGAAGTGGGTGAGCTGCCCTGGCGGCGCTCGGAATGACGGACTGAGGCCACCTCGAGACATCCAGATCCATGTGAAAAGGGACGGCGTCAGTGTGCGTACAGCAGGGGACTGGATGTCATACCTGCCACGGAGTGCCACTGCCCCTCACACAGAGCCTGCTTCGGGGTCACTGACGTCGACATCCTGCCCGCTCCGCTGTCCACAGAGGCTGTGACCTGCAACATACGCACCTTGCTACTTCCTTCCGGTACGCAGAGACGACACTGCTTCCCCTCTTCCCTCCCCAAGCAGGGCCATGCAGACAGTCCACAAACACTTTGAATAACGGTCCCCCAGCTCCCGGCAAGCAGGCTGTAAACCCAGGCCTCGCCTGGAGCTGTTGGCAATGGCCACGAACCAATCCCTCCGAAGCCAGACCCCATCCAGGGTCACGGGTGAGCACCAGCCATCCTTCCCAGTCATTCGTGTGTGACAGGGGCTCTGTTTAGAATCAGATGAGTTTGGAAAACAAAAATGCTGGTGGTGGCCCACAGTCTGTTGTAAGGTTCCAGCCAGTTACGACCGAGACATTGAACAAGCTGAATGAGTGTATCTGTCCCGGGCCCCTCACGGTGCCAGCACTCAGCACCTCAGTGCAGAATCTTACTTCCCACTGTCTAGTTTGGGCTCCTCCAGGACCTTCCAGGGCTGAATCAATGCAAATGATAAGACACCATCATTGATGTGCCTCTGTAAAAAACTTACATTTAATTTGCCAGTATCTAGATGGAGAGTCTATCCACAGGCTAAACAATGTGACTTCCAACGCCATCAGGTCTTGGTTTTGTTTCTTGAGATGAGTTCCTATCCAGAGACTCTCACCGAGGACCCTTCCCACCCTTTCTCTGAAAAGGTAAGTCTCGTCTCTACCCCCTGGAAGGTGGATTGTGCTGCTTCTCTGGGTGACAGGAGACCTGCTTAGATGCAATGTCTACAACTTCAGTAGGAAGTGTGTGAGGGGCTGGGTTGTCGGTCAGTGCAGATCACTCATCTGATGTGCAAGAGGCCTGGGTTCAATCCTCAGCACCAGGAGAAAAAGTATTCTAGGAGTTTGGGACATTTCATTTTCTCCTAGCACAATTTCCTCTCACATTTAATAAACAGTAGAAAGACAGAGATAAAAGGAAATAGCACAGCCTCAATTTTTGACTCAAGGCCTCAACTATGAGCAGCTTCCTGGAAGAATTTGTTTGTAGAGAGACATCTTTGAGAAAGAAAGAGATATAACTGGGTGGTTGAAAATAAGATATTGATGCAGGTCTGTGAGCGATGGGGAGGATGGGGTAGGAGAAATATAAACTGAAGAAGGAATCCGTGAGAAACCAATGGAGAACCAGCGGGGGACCCAGTGACCGGTGTGGCTGGAGCAGTGTGGAGAGACTAAGAGGACAGACTGATTCCATGAACAAGACCACAGGCACAGCTGTGGCATGGTGGAGACAGCTGGGGAAAACATGTCTGGTACTTCTGGCACTGCCCTTCTGAATAAAAGCAGAGATGTGATGAGGCTGAAGGTAAGGAAGGAAAATGGACATCTAAGAAGTCCTTGGAAGTTTCTCTAATCCTGACAAAAGCCCTAGAATACAAGCGTTACTGTCCTTATTTTATAGATACTGAAACCAAGTCTGAAAGAGGTTAAGAAACTTCCCAAGGGCTCTATAACCAAGTGGTACAGCTGGAATTCCCCCTGACTTGTGAGTTTTCCCAATTTTAAAGATGAAGAACAAAAACATGATGATAAAATTACTTGCTAAACTAAAATGACAAGTCATCTCCAAAGCTAACTTAAATATAAAGCTATGTTCACCCAGAAGTCATAGTAGAAATGGAATCTGGTTTCTACCTCCCACTCCCAGGTCACCAGACTGCTACGTACCTTTCCTGCCTCCATATAAACACTTAAGTGCTGTCCTCGTTGACTTCCAATATGTATTAGGATCCCAGTGAGACTTCTTGGGCGAATGCTGAACATAAGCTTGAACTCTGGCCCCAACAGCACTGAGTTAGCTTTGGAAAGGAAAGAACAAACAATGAAAGTGTAATAATTAAAGACAAAAGGTAGAGTTCTGAAGACTCAGAGACACGAACTCTGCCAAACTGCTTCTTACCCAGGTTGACGTGACCTCCTTCTTGGGAGAAATAAATGCCTTTCTCCAAAGAGCCACTCAAGCAAGGAGATACCCCAAAGTTTGTCAAAGGGGAATCCAAGGGTTTTAAATCCAATTGAAAGTTCTTCAGGCATCCCACAAAGCTGTTTTGGGGGAGGTTCTGTAACCAAGCAGAAGAGAAAGAGTTCATGACTTATGACTCCGCAGTGTGCATTGGCTATCCAAGCTAAGGGGTATTGAAACTTACTGGCCAACAGGATTTATCTCCCTGCTTCAGAGTCCTGTGGGCTTGCCTGTTCTATTTGGCTCCCTGCCCAGAGTATCAAGGAAAACCTGTCTGGCAGATGTCTGGGGAGTGCTGAAGTTGGAAGGATCTCCACGCCAGGTGGAGCATGAGCAGGACTGTGGGGCGGTGGAGGTTGCCTGCTGAGGCTAGAGTAAGAACAACCGAGGGTGGACCCGGCCCTGAGCCACACAAACTGAGCTGCCGTGTGGGGAAATTTCCACCTTACCATTTACAGATCTCACCATCGCTTTGCAGGAATGGACCACTCTTGAGGGTCTCATGAGCTGGAGTGAGAACTTAATGCGAGGCAGCTGATTGAAAAATGAGGCCAAAATGTTCCAAAAATAATGGAGTGCCAAACAGCTCCCTTCGGTGTTTGGCTCAGTGTAGTACCCACAAAGCACAAATGCTGTAGAGTTACAACAAGATGACATGGGTGTGCATCATGGGTGGGTGTGAGGGTAGACCCTGGCCCACTCTGGAATGGAGGCTCCTTGCTTGGCCCAAAGGCTGGGCTTCTGAGGATTTGTATTTCCTTGTATCATACCCCAGATGTTCTCTGTATGTACATTTTTCCGGAGAGAAGGACTGTAACATGTTCACAGGTTCTCAAGATATTTACAAAATTCTTTTTTAAAATCTTAAAAATCATTGAACAGAAAACCCCCCAACTCCCTTCTAGAATCAATGCTTTCAAGGCCCTGGAATCCTACACCACAGATGCGGATACAGTAATGTTGAGAGACAAGGGTGATGTTAGTCATGAATGCGGTGCTAGCATCAGTGGTAAACGGCTGGCTGGTCGCCTCATGAAGTTTTTAGTTTCTTAAGAAGCCCTGGAGTCCAAGCTTATAAAGAAAATCTGCCTTAATTACATCGATTTCTAGGCCCACTCTTGAGTCCTGCCACCTAGTGAGAAATCTGAGCCTGAAACCAAGCACATACTTCTCAGGGTGTCCATAACCTGCCACTGAACTCCTTAATGGCCAGGTAGGGAAGGTACCCTTGGAAAGGCTGTGGAGGAGGACAGAGAAGATGGTTCACACCACCAGGATGCAGGAGGCTGTGGAAAGAACCCTGGCTGTTAAGGGTATTGTAATGGATGCTGCTCTTGGTCCCAGATGTTAGGAAGCCAGGGATAATTAAGGTGGGTTTTTGTGGGGATTTTCTGGACCAGGATCAAACTCAAACTCAGGTCCTTGTGCTTGCAAGGCAGGTGGCAGAACCACTGAGCTAAATCCCCGGCCCTGATTAAGGTGGTTTTTAAAAGATCCTACCCAGGTCAGAAGTATACTGAAATTGTGCCATCTTGTGATTTCTCCAAGATGAAGAAAAGTCTACATTAACCTTGAGGACCCACCACAGCAATTAATATATCCTACATTATGTATGTGTTATTGTGCATAGAATATAAGCATGTTATGATTTATGTATGATATACATAGAAAAGTTACTATATATGAGAAAGCTAAATAATACTTTATTGCTTGCTGGAGCTTTGGCCTAACCCTCCAGCAAAATTCCAGTGGGCCAGGCAGTGCCTGGTGGAGACTGGCTTTGGCCAGGTCAGGCTGAAGCCCTGGAGTCCATGCTGGTGGAGAGAACCTGCCTTAATTATGTCCACTTCTCAGCACACCTTTGCATCTGGGCCCTTCCCTGCCTCACTGCAAGGAAACGTCAGACCGGAATGCACCAGCAGCTCTCAAGAAAAGGAGGAAAAAATGGCTGTACAGGGAACACGGTTGGCAGCCTGAACTGAGGACCATTGTACTTCACTTTGTGGGAGAAAAAGACAAATCTGGGAGAAGATGGACAAGTGTGTGTGGCGACCCCAGGTGACCCAGGTGCAACTGCTCTGCAGAAGGAGGAGAGGAGGGGTGGCAGCCCAGCACAGCCGCTGAACCTGACACACCCACCAAGTGTCCCTCCCCTGGGGACAGGGGAGCCCTGACTTTTCCTTAGCCCAGGGTTCCCAGTTTGGTTCTAGGGATATTTTAAAAATTTAAATGCTGAATAACACTGAAATGTATATATTTAGTATGTTCTTCCTTTTCCTTCCTCTTTCAGTGCTGGAGATTAGACCCTTGCATATGCCAAGCCTGCCCTCGCTGAGCGACACCTCCAGTTTTCTTCCTTTTTTCAGTTCTCTGTCCAGCCCTCTAATTAGGACAAATGACAAATTTCAGCTCTATGCTAATATGTCTTGAACACTCCCTATTCACTCGGCAAGCTCCCAGTTCTCTAATTGAAAGGGGGACAGGCCACACCATCAAGCTAATGATACCGTTTCATTTCTGTGTATTTATTTTTATGGTTTTGCACTATTTGTGGCAAAGGATAGTGGGCTTCTGTATATGAGAGAGAGAGAGAAAGAGAAAAAAGGCCCTCCAAAAACACAGCCAAGTTCAATAGCAAACTATGAAGTAAATGCTTTGTCTGAGTACAGCAAAGATGGCGAAGGTGGCACAAATTACTAAAGTGGACCTCACTCTCTTAATCCAAGATTGCTTTCTACCTAAAGCCTTAGATGTGTGTGCGTTTCCTGGCAGAGGAGCTACAGGCCTTGTGTGGGCAAAGACATGGAGAAGATCTGTACTCTCTTGTTGTCTGGGCACTTGTGTTAACCTGCACCTAATGCAGGAAGGCTTCTGAGGGAGGAGTGAGGCCCTCTCTGTGGCCCTGTGAACACTCCATATTGCAAAAAACATTTAAGGCATTGTGAGATTTTTATACATCTCATAGCCTTATGGTGGCGATATTATAAGGTGGATTTGTCTTATTATGTTTACCTTTGGCTTCCCTGATGGAGACCACCCCAGGTAAACCTCTGCTCTTGGGCTGCCAGTGGAATTTCTGGGCAAACTGCCTTCCTGGGCCCTCAGGCCATCCACACGCAGGTGTCCCCTTCCGCCATCTTGCCCAAACACCACCTGCAGAGTCAAGAGAGCACATGCGTCAAGTTCTTACCTCTGAGCATTGCTGCTGCATTTATTAGCAGTCGCTGAACATTACTTTTTGTTGTTTCCTACCCTTCCGTTGCTATAAAAAAATGAGGTTTTGCTCCTGTTTATTCCCTCACCATCGTTTTGTGAGACTGTTAGGTATTGAACAAACTATTAAACAAACTGGAAAGGGCAGATAAACGGTTGCTCAAAAGTGAACTAAATAAACAGATACAATTGATCTGGAAATTTGTACCAAAGAGGGGCAACCAGAGGCATGTAAATGAACAAGGAGCTTCCCAATAAAGAGAAGGAGTATTGTGTAGAGCTGAGAGGGGTGGAAGTCGACTGTGTACCTGGGGAGGCTCCCAGAGAAAGGAGAATGCAGCCCTTCTCCGCTAACATAAGGGGCAAGGCGTTCAACCCTTTGCTACAAGTGAGGACTACTGTGGACTCTGCCGTCTCTCCAGTGTCCATGTCCAGCTGCAGCCTCGAGCCTCCTGAAGGGGACACGTGGGGAGGCAAGTCTGGGCTGCTGGTCTTCCCCAGCCCGAAATTTTTCTCCCTGGTCACAGGCCTCCTCTCCACCTTCTCCTCCTCAGCAGACGCCCACTGCTACCAGACTGCTATAGAACCGACTGTTTCTCTCCCCTCCCTGTGCAGCCATGGGCCAGCCCTCTGCTCTGCTCCAGGGCCACCCAGACCCCAGCTCTGCACTTCTGCCGCAGTCTCTCTAGAATCTAGACGTATGAATAGCCTTGCGTGGTCCCCACTTCTATTTCCAACCACCCCCCTATTTCTTCCGCTGAAGAGAGGTTAAAAACCATAAATCTGCTTTACTAGTTTAACTCTCTTCCTACACTGCAGAGACACCTGGAATGAAATCCCAAGTCCGCACGGTGGCCTTCAAAGCTTAACGACCTGGCTCCTGCTCCAATGCCTCTCCTGGCTCTGCGGTTTGTTCCACAGGCTCATTCCCCTGTGGCGTTCCATTTGCCTCTCCCTCTGCCCAGAGCACCTGCTTGAATATGGACAGTGGCCTCCCTCTGCAGAAGGCCTTTCCTAACTACCTGCTCTAAAACAGTCTCCCTACTCTGCTTTGTTTCCTGACCTTGCTCCAGTGTTTTCTGAAGGCACTTACCCACAGCTGACGTTATGAGAATTCTGTGCTCATGTGCTCTAGAAGAGCCGCTCATGGACTAGCTGTTGAGTGACTAAGTGAATGCCACTTGCCAAGCCACTTAGGTTATCTGAGTATCAGTTCCCTTCTGGGCTTACACTGTATTTTTAAAAATCTGGTTTGCCATGAAGCCAGAGCTGGGATGCTAGGGCTGTGAGTCTTTCTGCTTGTGTGATGGGGAAGACATTCAGGTGCAGAGGAGGCTCTGGAGGCCTGGAAGTGGCCACTGCAGGAGGCAAATGGTCCAGGAAACAGGGTGGATGTAGGCCAGGGGACAAAACAGCCGGGCGAGGACAGAGGGGCTCTAAGGAGCATGGCGAAGCCCACCTGGGCACTGAGGGCATCAGTGACACATGATGTGTGCAGCAACCCCAGCACCAAGACACTGGGTGCCTGACGCCTCTGCCCACACAGGCTTTCCTGATGCTCCATCCTGTATGCCTGAGAAAGGTGCTGCTTCCTGTTTTCAGTTACTCAGACAGTGAAGGGCACCCCAGCTGGAGGTGCAGGTTGAACATCCCTCACCGACATGCTTGGGAACAGACGTGTAAGAAGTTTCAGATTTTCTGAATTTTGGAATACTCACATGTACATAATAAGATATCCTAGATAGGACACAATTCTAAACACAAAATCCATTTATGTGCATATATACTATATACATATAACCAGAAAGCAGTTTTTTTTTGGTACCAGGGATTGAATTCAGGACCTTGCATTGTAAGGCAGGCATAGCTCCACTAAGCTAAATCCCCGGTACCAGAAAGCACTTTTACACAATGTTTTTGGCCTGTCTGTAATTTGACTACAACCCGAGATCAGGTCTGGAATTCTGCATTGTGGTGTCATGTCATTGTTCAAAATTTTGGGCTTTGGGTGCATTTTAGATTTCGGATTTCTCAGAGTGCTCAGACTGCTGTAATGTAGCCAAGATCTTACCGTGTGCCACTTCCCATCATTGTATTTTTCTTTACTTTTGAGCCTCAGTTTTTTGCCTGCTGCCCCCAGGGCAAAGACCAGGTGTCCTTTCAACAGGTAAAGTGCCATAAAGGAGTTCTTGGTGCCCGCGTAAAACACCAGCCCCCTGGAGGAGGTCGTGTGTATGTCCACAGAAAACTCTGACCTGTGGGGAAAAGAAAGCAACAGGCAAGGAAGGAAGGGAGATTGTTACTGTTTTTCAGCTCTCATAGCTGGGAGAGTGGGTGTGGTGCATATACCCAGACTCCCATTTTTCCAGGGCACGAGCGAAGTTCTGTCCCATGCCTCTCTCGCCCTGCCCCTGGAAACCACCACTCTATTTCCTGTATGTACGGATTTGCCTGCTCCAGGTACCTCACGTAAGTGGAATCAGACTGTATTTGTTTCACGCAGCAGCCTGAACTCCTTAAGCCTGAGGAGTGTGCCTTCTATTTGTGTATATTCACAGAGAGGGAAGTTGTAGAAGGAGGAAGGATCACACCGAACAAGGATGCGATCCATTCATAGGGTGAGCACTTCCTCCCTCTGTAAGACTCATTTAACATTAAGGCACAGACATAAAGATTCACGCACCTCTACAACTCTCCAGCCTCATACTTCCTCTGTGCTGGAAGAGGAACTACACACTGTGCAGTCACAGCAGAGGTTGAAAGGTAACATTCATTAACATGAACGGTTGCATGGACTTGGACTTACGGCTGAGCAACAGTTACTGTCTATGACAAGTGATGGCCATCCACTCCCCCATTCAGCAAGTAACTGTGGAGCAAGTATAAGGCTCTGTGCTGGGCTCTGGGGAGGCATTTGTGTACAGTGCGCCGCTGTGTACACGGTCCCCGGATACCCTGAAAGGAATCCTAAAGATATGGCAGGAAATGCGGGTAGCAGCTGGCTGCATCCTGCTTTGCTGGGGGCTAATGTCTCATCACACAGCGGACTGGAGGCCTGAGCTAGCTCGGTCCTGCTTATAGCTGTACTCCCAGTGCACAGTACCTAGCAGGGACTCGATAAATAATTACTGAACCGAATTAAGCAGTAAACGGAAACTCTGGAGGCAGAGCCTGGAAGTGGCAGGAAGAGTTACACTGTTTATTCTCTTTGTTTTCAGTGGTGTGAGGCTGAGAAGTAATCTTCAGATTAGCAAATTTCCTGGAGGGGAACATTCTTCCAAAGGAAAAAGAAGTCCGTGCTTGTTAAAGGAAATCGCCCAGATGGCAACAGCGAGCGTCTGTGAGTCAGAGGGCTGGAGGCCGGGGGCTGGCCTGCAGAGGAGGGCGGACGCTGGCAGGTGCTCCAGGAGGGGAAGCACCTCGCGGATGCAAGAGCTCCGTGGTGCGACTTGACATTTGCTTCCCAGAACTGTTTCTTTAAGCAATTTTCTTCCAGAAAAGGCTAACTGACTAATGCCCTGAAAAGGCGGCAGTGGATGCAAATCCCAGAATGTGATATCGTCGCTTTGACTATTCACGGCTAGAGGAGGAGACAAGAAATGCCACTTTCCTATGTTCACCCTGGGGTTAAAATGATGGCACTGGCTTTGGACGAGAGTCAAACATTACTAGAATGTAAATCAGGATGGGAATAGTAAAATACTTGCAGCTTTCTGAAAATATAAGCCTGTAATTCCTGAAAATATAATCTGATGGCTACCATATTCGGCACTCAAATAGTTTCACATAAATAGTTATTAACGATGGATTGCTTTTTTATTGTAACCTTTAAAATGTTACCTTTTTCATTTATGATGTATAACTTAGAGCTGGACGTGAAAGGACTGCATCTAGAGACTGGATCACCAAGAAAGCAGACAACTTACCTCACTCAAAGTGCAGGGGGAGAGGGGCGGGCTGCGGGTGGGC